AGCTTCTGCCAGCTTGTTGAAGTCTGGGTCTTGTGGGTCAGCACCCTGCAACTTGGCTATCTGGTACTTGGTCATCCAACCATCGATGACTTTGTCAGTCTTTTTGAGCCTTTCCAGGCTTTACACTGCGACTGGCTGCAGATTCACCCAGAAGGAAAGTGTTGTAGTAAAACTCTCTTTTGGCTTGTTGGGTTCCAAGCCTTTGCAGGCTTGGATTCAGTACTTGGGGCTTCCATAGCTGCTGCCTCAGAGGCTACAGAAGGAGTTGCCTCTGGAATGGCAAAGCCATCACTGGCTTTTGCTTTTGCTTTTGCTTTAGCCATTGCTTTCTTCTTGGGGGTTGGTGGCTCCACCTTCACATCGGGAGCTTTTCTTTTTGCCATCTTGCTACAGACACTGGCCAGTTGTTTAAAGCTTGAGGTCAGAAAAATGGCTGCAGATTTTTTTGGGTGGGGTTGAAAAATGTGACCAGGGACTTTTTGGAACTTTCGGAACTTTTGGAACTTTTGGAACTTTTAGATTTATATAAGAAACAATATCTAGGAATAGAAAGTTCCAAAAGTTCCATAGTCCAAAAGTTCCGAAAGTTCCTTTTTTCAACCCTTTCGAAGTACCACTGAAAGCAGGCAGGCGCACCTTTTTTTTCCAAAAACTCTCAGCTGCAGTGCTGGTAGAATGCCTTTTCAGGCAGGGTGCCATTGCTGGCAAGTTGCCATTGCTGGCAAGTTGCCATTGCTGGCATTTAAGGAGCAGCAACTGGTTCTGCTGCCCTTGCACCTCCAGTACCACCATCTTTTCCACCACTAGGATCCTTTTCCTGAGAGCCATTGTCTGGCTTTTCTTCCTTTGGCTGCTTCTTCCCTCTGGCTGTTTTGCTTCTCCTCCTGTTCTTTTTCTTTTTGCCTTGTTCAGGCACTCCTCCCCCTCCTCATCCCCACCTTGAATGAGGGTGCCATCTGCTGGCATGCGCTCACATCTTGGTTTCCCATCTTTGCCTAACCTTGTCCCCACACTCTTCGACCTCTCCCTGCCATTGCCATCACTGGCACTGGAAGCCTTGCTCTTTCTTGTGCTCCCCTTGGCAGAAAGCCTCTTGCCCTCCTCTCTGCATCTTCCCTAGCAACAATGGCTAGCCAGTCTGCTTGTTGCTTTTCCCATTCATCCGACTTTGCTGGATCTTTTTCTTGAGCCATTTCCCTGGCTTTGCGATGCAATTCATACATTTGCCTCTTGAGAGCCTTATTCAGACTGTGGACCCTGGGCTTTAACTCCTCAGGGACTTCTTCACCTTTCCTTTCCAACTCTCTTCTTTGAGCTCTTCTTTTGGCAGAAGCCCTGCCATGAAACACCCACCTGTCTGGATTTGGAGGGGCAGCTTCAGAACTCTTCCAATCTTGCCATTGCTGGCAGGTGTCTTGCCAGTCCTCCCAGTCTTGCCACTGCTGGCTGGGTGAAGACCAGTCTTGCCATTCCTGGCATGAGGTTCTCACACAGCGGGTTGGCTGCACTGTGATGGTGCCATCTCTGGCAATGGAGCTTCTGCTAGTGCCATCACTGGCAGAGTTGGGTGGGCCAGGGCCAAAGGCGTCACCCCACTGGGGATCCCAGTCTGGGGTTTCACCTTGGCTTCCCCAACTCACCAAACAATACGGTTTGGATTCAGAGCCATCCCTGGCTTGGATGTAGCCCTTCTCCTTGAAGTTGCCCTTTTTGACCCAGCCAAAGCTGCAGCTTGCTACCCATGTGTTGTGGGTTGCCATGTGCACGTGCTTTGCAGGCTTGGTAACTTTTGCAGTCTTGGGAGCCATTGCTGGCTTTTTTGGGGGGGTCATGCAGCTGGCAGGCCTTTTGTAGCTGCCATTCTTCCCATTTTTGGGTTTCAGCTTTTGAGGGGTCACTATACCAGATGAAGTGGAAGAAACTTCCTGTGTGCTGACCACAAAAGCTTCCTTTTCTTCACTGCCTGCGCTTTCGCTCTCCACCTTGGACTTTGTGCTGCTGCCTTGAAGCATTAAAATTTTTGATTTGGTGGCTGGAGCCTTTCCAGGCTGGGAGTCTTGCTTTTGAATTGTTGCCTTGTTATTTTCAGGCTGGGGGTCTTGCTTTTGAATTGCAGCCATTGCTGGCTCAGGGGCCACAAGAGAATCAGATGGCAAGTGTGTTTTCCTTTTTAGCCTTCTTTCAGGCTGAGGCTGGGGTTCACTGGCGATAGGTGCCAAGCCCATGGCTTTCATCACTTGGAGGACTGCAGGGCTTGTCTTCTCTCCATTTTTCATATTTTTAGCTTTTTTGGTCAGCCATCTCTTGTATTGCACCAAGTGCTGAGTGATCTCACCTCTGTCCAAATTTGACATTTTAGGGCAAGCAATTTGGAAAGAGAGCCTTGCTTCAGGCTTAGTGGGCTTTTCAGCAAACCAGACAGACAAAAAGGTTGCTTGCTTTGAAATAGCCATGTCTGGCTCAAGGGGAAAATCTTTCAAGCTACAATCTGGCACAAAGCCAGAGATGAGGCCAACCAATTTTGCCATTCTTCCATCGCCTTTGGTCTGCTCCACTGGCAAAAGACGAGCAATTTCCAAAAAGATCTATGCTCTTGAGCTTGGGCTAGGTTGATGACATGGTTAGTAAATATCTATCTATCTATATATATATATATCTCTATATGTGTATATTCTTTTTAGTTTGTTAATGAGCTACCATTTCCAGAAGCTAAAAAAACAAGCTTCTAGAAGCTAAAAGCCAAGTTTCTAGAAGCCAAAAAAACAAGCTTCTAGAAGCCAAAAAACAAGCTTCTAGAAGCCAAAAATTTTGGCTTCTGGGGTGCTAACATAAAAAAAATACTGGAAGCTTGTTTTTTGGTCAGAAGCTAAAAAAAGTAGCTGGCAGACAGTTTTCAGAAGCTAAAAAAACAAGCTGCCAGACAAAAAAACCAGCTGGCAGTCAAAAAACTGGGCTTCCAAAACTGGCTTCCAGGAGGGTGGGAGCCAAAAAAACTAGCTGGCAGATAGAAAACAAAGCTTCTCGGAAGCTAAGGGTATGTGGCGAGGAACTCCTTGAAGCATTGGATAAGTCCATGGAATTGATTTCTTTATGAATGATCAGGCCATGGCAGAGCATGACAAGAGGCTGAGCACCAAAGTCGTGTCAGCCTATATTCGTCGACAAGAGTTCAGGGAGGCGATGTGCGCTTGGACGTTGGCAGCTTATACCGGCCGGATAGCTTCCAAGGGGAAGCGTAGACCCGGCAAAATGGAAGTGGCGTGTAGGCCAATCGTACGCCTTTGTCATGCCGGAGCACATCAACATCCTTGAGATGAGATCAATGGTTTCCACCTTAGCCTGGCGCTTACGCAGCTCGCGCTTCGGCTCTTGCCGTGCCCTCCATATAGTTGATAGTCAGGTGGTGCTCGCAGTAGCTGTAAAGGGCAGAAGTTCCTCTCGCATCCTGAACAGGCTCCTTCGAAAATTTGGCGCTCTTCAAGTGGCAGGTGGGTGATCCCAATCCTGGGCTGGGTGGAAAGCGAAGCCAACCCAGCGGACGAACCAAGCCGCCGTCGTGAGCGGTAGGTGAAAGAAACCAATGGTGAAGAACGCCAGTACAAAGGAGCAGAGGCGAGAGGCAAGAAAAAAGGTGGGAAAGCTGCGCAACCAAGTTGTTTCATGTGGTTCTGAAAACAGGTATATCATGAGGCCTTCGAAGAATTTTGAAAGTTTCACTCTTTGCTGCCGGCCTTCGTCATAGATTTGAGCAGTTTGATGAGATGGTCAGTGAATATGTGGAAGCCCTTTGGGAGACTGGGGAACCCAAAACCCTGGCAAACTACACGTTAGCTGCAATCCAATTCTACCGTCCACAAGCCAGAACACGGCTCTGGTTAAAGCATGGAATCAAGTGGAGATCCCAGTCAGGGCGACCCCTTTTTCAAGCCTTTGCTGGCACTGCGCTCAAGTGGAAGCAAAAGGCCTTTGCGCATCTTCATTGGGTTTGCAGCCTATCTTAGGACTGGGGAGATTCTGTCTTTGAAACCTGAAGATGTTTCTCTTGGTCGTGATCGTGCTGTTCACACTTTATCCCGACGTCAAAAGGAGCTAAGAGGAAGTTTCTCCCATTGGAACGGCTTGAAATTACTGAACTCACTGCCTTGCGTTCTCTTAAGTCCTTGCTCAAGTTGCGCAAGAGAGGAGCTGCTTCTTGGGATGGATCGAGATATGAGTTCATGCAGTTGTGGCATTCTGTTGTACGTGAACTTCGGTTGGAAGGCGTGAACTTTGTTCCATACTCCTTGAGACGTGGTGGCGCTACCACGGCATACAGGAATGGAGAAACGCTGGATGTTCTGGTGACCAAGGGTCGCTGGCTACATTTAAGCACTGCCCGTATTTATCTAGATTGTGGTTCGCAATCCCTGATCCAACTGACACTCCCCTCTTCCTCAAAAGCACCCGTTCGGGCTGGTGTCAAAGCTTTCTTTGCCAATGCCTAGTATGGGGCGCGTGGAAGGGGACGGAAGGGGACTGGATTAAATCTGTGTCTCCGGGTAGTGTCATGTGTGGGGGAATTGCCTTTTATGTCAAAGGGCACGGGCTGAAGTGCTTGAAAATTCAGCGTGCGGAGCGGAAGGACTCTCGAAAGCATGGGTTCTGCGTCCGCAGGTTTATATGCAAGAGAGGGTCCGCTGTGGAGTTCTCGGCTCCCTCCATCCCAACCACCGGCCCCCCAGGACCGGATTAAATCTGTGTCTTCGGGTAGTGTCATGTGTGGGGGCAATTGCCTTTTATGTCACAGAGCACGGGCTGAAGCGCTTGAACTTTCAGCATGCGGAACGGAAGGACTCTCGAAAGCATATATATATATATATACACCTGTAGATTTCTTGAGGGCTGCTTGGACCCTGCCCTACTGTTTTAATAATGTCCCAAGCAAGTCTGCCTTCGTCAGCGTTAGAACGTGGTCGACGTGTTTTCAATTTTAGATATTGGCAATTTTGTGTGAGCATCAGGTTGAGCTTGAAAGAGAGATAGCAGAAGACAGGAAATGGCGTGCGCAGAAGGAGCGAGAGATGATTCAGGTGGCATCCCGACATTCAAAGTCCGGATTGACAAACTGCACCTATATAGGTAAACAAGGTCTGAGGTATCATTCATGGGGTCCACTCCTTTTGAACATAGTAGTAGGAGGAGAAGTAGCACTAGCAGTATACCAGGCCAGGGACACAGTCTCAAACAAACAAGGGGTAGCGCTGCAGATTATTTAGGGGGGCAACACATGTTTTTTTTGCAAGTTTATGGAGAACCAGTTGGCAAACCACAACCATCAGAGAACCGGCAGGCCTGAGATTTTTCAATTGGGACATTGTTAGGGCTTGGGCAAAAGATGTTTTCTTGCAATCCAAACCACACGGGCGGCTGGAAGACAAACAGTTCCACACTAAGGTGCAACCTCCGTTCTTTTGTGAAGACCACAATGGTCACAAGTGTTGACGTTCGGATCTTGTGGTTTGGTTCAAGAAAGAGAGGTGTGCAGCGCTGCGCAGTTCCTGACAAACTTGGTTTCAATGGTGGTTTGATCTTGCGCAATTCGTCATTTAGCTCCGTCCTTTCATGTAGGCCAACCAAGCGGGAAAGGCTTGGAAGGCCATTGGGTGTATGGTGTTTTGAACAAGCCCGTTGATATTCTCTTGCTTCTTCATTGCTCCCGTGAGCCTTGGTCCCGGAGGCAAGATTTTGGCTTGGAAAACTCATCTTGAACTCGACAACCTTAACCGGAGAGCAGAACAAGACTGTGGAAGAGCTTCTTCAACAGCGCAAGGACTGCAATTTGAGGAAATTCGCCTTCATTGCTTGGTCATTGCTCCGGCTGGCAGGAAACTACATAGTAACTACAGCGAAACGTTTCCAAGCGCAAGAAAACTTGAAATAAACTTACATTTGTTTGTGTGCAGCGCCTGATTCACCCGGCTGTTTGGCCTCAGGCCCCTGAAATGTGCTTATTGGTTGCTTTCTAGCAACTGCTTTGTTCTTCTGAATTATCTGGCATTCAAAACCGTTGATCCATTTTACATGAAGGTGCCTTTTGAACCCTTGCTAAGCAGTTTTAGGGGAGTGGGGGGCTGTCACACGCACTTAGCTTGAGATCCGGATTTGCATTTTATCGAAAACATGTTGTGAGAGCATCTGGATCTGGTTTTGCATTTTATAGAAATCTTTTGGGTTGACATGTGCGACAACCTTCGCACCTGGCAAGAGCATTTCATTGAAGGAGCATGTAGTCTCTACAAAATGCTATCCCACAGTCCAACAGTTCCCAATGTCAAATTGGGACACTTCTTTTCAAATTGGGACACTTCTCTTGACCGGCAATCGTCTCCCAGTCACGCGCTTTGTCGCCCCAGCTAGCCAAGCGGCAAACCCACCACGAGCCCACGAAAGCTCTATAAAATGCCTGTCAAAAAAATTTTGATGTATGTTTATGTATTTTTTTGGGTTTTGCATTTTATTTTGAAAATGGGCTATAAATTATATGTTTTCCTTGATATGGTCTTGCATTTTGTAACACCCTCACATGGAGAGAAAGAGCCTCACACACTCCACGTGAAAGCGCATGTTGAGTCAAGCACAAAGACCTGCGCCTGCAGAGCTTTGTTAGATGGTAGTGGAGCAAGGATCCTGATTTCTTAGATCTCAGGTGTGCCAGTCACAAAGCGTATCAGCTTCGGCGTGGACAAGATAGTGGTGATGCCTATCAGGGTCCGAAGTGGCGACCAGGACGGCGAGGACTCCTCGGGGCATGGCAATAGCACCCAGGCGTCTGCAGATCCGGTGTTATGGACTTCAGATGGTCATATTTCCAGCGCATGCCTGGCAGATCGAGCCGTTCCGGTCTTTGACAGAGGCAGCGCAGCAAGGACAACGAGCTGGGCATCGTGGGCGTCGGACTGGGAGCAGAAGGCGAAGTAATTCAGTTTAGCCTTAGCTGGACATAGCCGTTAGCTGGACATTCAAAATGTAGTAGTATATATACAAGTAGTTCATTGTACTATGCTGGGCATTCTAAATTCTGCACGTGGGACATAAAAGGCATTCTGTAGCAGCAGCGCTTGCTTTCTGTAGGGTAGGGAAGTTCAAGCTGTTGTCACTCACAGTAATATATATATACAATGTCATTTGTCCCTGCTGGAGATGAATTGTTATTGAAACTTCCCTTTGCAACATGTTGAACTGTTGCTGGCAAGTGTAAGGTGGGCTTGGCTTGGGGCAGGCATTGAAGGACAGGGCCTCAAGAGCATCAAGCAATCAGAGCTGAGCCCTTTTTAGTTTGTTCACGTTCAGAAGGGCAAAAACATGGACTGTGATCTTTTTTGCAAAAAATAAAACAAACACATGAGAACTGTTGAAGGCACACGCTGGGCTGTTAGTTTCAATTCAAAGGTTCGTAACGTTGCCAGTTGCTGGTGGGAACTTGTCATAGTTGTTTTGATTTGGACCTGCTGAACCTTCTTATGCAACACTTGGCTTCAGAAGGCTGAGCAGCAGGCGGAGCAATCATTTCAACTTGGGATGGGTGAACCAAGGGAGAAGCCACACCTCCAGTACATTTAGCAGAACTATTGCCTTCTATTTTGCTCAGCTTTGCTTGTGTGTTGCTCTTTCTTAGACGGCCTGGTTGGCTCAACCTGCGCATTCACTCACGCTGGGTCAGATGACAGTGCCCATTCACCAATGTAAGCTGCGATCTTTCATGTGCTTGCATGAGTAGTTTGGCTTGCAGGATTGCAGCGCAAAGCAAACAACCCATCCATGAAATAGAAGGACCAGAGTGTGCTCACTGCCATTTATTCCTGTTGCATTCTGTGTGACAGTTGCCTTCATGTTTCGGGACATAGAAGCAAGTTCCTTTCTCAAAAATTCCTTTTTTGAACTAAAGTTTCTTGCATTATCGATGACGCTTGGACGATCAGTACTTGTACAAGTGTTCTTTCTTGGCTAGACTTGATAATCTGCTGATACCCTCACTTGGTGTTGAGAAGATTGACTGTAGAAAGAGTGCGCAATTAGATCCTCTTCGAGCTGCATAGACCCAGCGCAAGGATAGATATTATTTTCATTGCCAATCTTGGTGAGGCGCAAGGCGCAGATTTGAGAGGGCCAATGGTCCACTGGATTGTGATCCAAATTCGGACTGCGTGAGATCTCAGCACATGCTTGGCTCCTGCTACCACTCTCAACTCCTGTGAATGTAGTCCAGTCTGATGCTTTCCCAGTGGGTCTTTACTACACTAATAGTGAAAAACACACAGCTGGACAAAATTCTAGTGTAGTTGCAAAATGTATTTCTAAGTAAGTGCACTACACTTCCTGACAATGTTTTAGACTGATGAGGTGTAGCACGCTTAAATCTTAAGTTTAAGAACATTCCACAATGTATTTCCATTGGTCTGCGCTTGGTCTGCGCCACTTTGCCAAATTGTACCAAACTATTGACTCTTGATTAAAAATTATATATTTAAAATTGTCCAACCATTATAGACTATTTATATTTCTTCACAAATGATCCCAGCAATGAAAATTTGGTGATCCCAGCAATGATCCCAGCAATAATGCGACGGACAAGCTCTCTGAGAACATCCGCGAGCGCATGGAGGACTATCGTGGACGTTGTGACGGACAAATCGATCTGGACCGGTGGAATCAGTGGTACAAGGACGATCCAATCCATTTGGCGCCGGTCTTCTACAATGCACATATGTGGTGCACGCAGCACTCCTTCACCTCAGAGGGGTTCTTCGTTAGGATTCGCCAGGGAGATGACGGCAACTTGGACCACATTTTCACAAATTTGTCAAGGCCACTTAATAAAGTTAGTTGAGTGACCGTGAATGGTTCATTATCATTGGTTATTTATTAGGTAGTCAGTTGTTGGGATCATTTCTGGGGACTTGTTTGGCAGCCCATGTCATCCCAGGACCTGAGGAAGCAGTCTTTCAGCGCTGGGCGAGAGTCGGACTCTGTCTGCAGTGTGCTGTTGGACTATTGCAGACTGGAGCAAAGTCTCCCACGAAAATCACAGGGTGTCATTGGCATGGAAAAAGGCGTCAGACAGGGACAGACAGTGGGAGGTTGCAACGTTTTATATATCCTCCAAAACTTTTGAAAGAAATGGGGAGACTCAGGGGTTGCAGGTACATATATGAATAGTATTGCATTTCCAACTTCCATTTGGCTTTCCTCGATACTTGCGTCACAGTGAGTTGTATTCCTGGTGCATTGTAGCACGGGAAAGCCACACCAATGTGCATGACCTTCACCATCCTTTGCATATCCCCCTTGTCTCTGAACAGTTTTTGTTTTACTCACCAAAACAACTTCGTTCTTGCCAGGGTCATATTTTGACAAAGCCTGGCTATCAATCAAGTTTGATTTGCGCAACTTGGGCACGTTTCATTGCCATTAGATGCAGGATACTTTTGTTTTCTTTATTATTTTTGAAAAATGTTGCTCTGCCAACTGTACTAATGTTACATGCTGGCATTTGGGGTCAACCTTTCCTGGATTCCATGCTCTTTCCTGGTTCCAGCCCTTCCCTGGAAATCGTGCCGCCCAAGTTGGTCTACGACGAGGTTGGAGATGACTTCGTGATGGTCAATGGCTTGAAGCTCACGATGGAGAGCTCAAGGAAAGTGATGAAGGATGCTTGCAAGTTCCTTGCAATCCCTTTGAGTGGGAGTAAGGCTGTGGTCTTCAAAAGGTTGCAGGTGGCAGTCGAAGAGACAGCAGCAAAAGCAGCGCTTGATGCAGCTCGAAATGAGAAGAGGGCCATGGAGCGTCGACCTCAACAAGCTGTTGTTCCCCGAGGAGAAGCAACGACGTTTGCTTACACACCTTCCCTTTGCAGAGTGGTGTGAAACCAAGCAACAAGGTCAAAAGACAATGAGCGTCATGAACGACGAGAACAAGTGTGTTCTAAGGTGGCTTTGGACTACGTGACAACGAACGCCACGATTCGCAAGGAAAGCCCAGAAGTCAAGCGCTTGGTGGCAGTGGACAATTGGTCAAAAGCCATTTTGGCTGCGCCAATCAAGGCAAAAGGTGGCGCAAGCGTGAAACTTTGCGCCAATGCAACTTGTGGCTTTGTCAGGGACTATGACAAGGTGATCATCAAAGGTGATCAAGAACCTTCACTGAAACAAGTGATGAAGGCAGTTGCTGATGCAAGGAAGCTGTTGAAGCTTCAGACAACTCAAGAGTTTTCGCCTCAAGGCAGATCAGCATCAAACCCTGCAGAGCGAGCAATTCAGACGGTGAGAAGGTTGGGCAACACTTTGCAGGAGAGCATCTGTGTTGGATGTGGAATCGAGATTCCCGCTTCACGCCCGCTGTTTGTGTAGCGCTATGCCCATGCACCCTGGTTGTACAACAGGTTCCATGTGACACCTGGTGGCAATACACCATTTGTAGCTGTGACTGCCCGCACCTACTCAGGGAAGCTGGCGACTTTTGGAGCATGTCCCTATGGACAACCACTTCCAGTTCCGAAGAACACCCGACGAGGAGTTCCCACTGGTGGAAGGGAATCTATGTGGGCAAGTTGATGGAGTCAGACTGAGACTCAGACCTCAACTTTCTTCCCTCCCCCACCGGACTGTTTGCGACAAGAGCAGTCCGACGATGTGCAGATGAATGGCAACCAGAGTTCCTCATGGCTTGTCATGGATTGCCATGGGATGGTGCAAGCGCACGAAAGTTTGGTCCCACGACCAAGGTCGACAAGAAGAGAAACCTGGAAAGCCAGACCTTTCCTGGACTACAAGA